TATGGGATATAGTGTCCTATATGGCATGCTAACAGCTACAACAATCCCCTTTCTCCAGGACTTCAAATCTTTCCATGAACTTTTTGAAATTCCCCTTTATAAACCACAAATGATGAAAAGAAAAGGATAAGGGGCACACGTAAGTGAGAAAGTCAAACTTCTGCCGCAGAGAGAGCAGACGAGAGGAGATGGTGGCTGAGGAGGCAAGATGCAGAGGCCGCAGGAAATGGTCCACAGCCAGGTGAGCAGGGAGCAGACGGAGCAAACGAGGAGCCCGTGGAGGAGGATGAAAATGCTGACAACACAAATGCAGGCAGTGAAGAAGGAGCCCTCCGCAGAACCCAGGAGAGGTCAATTACTTTTAAGTTTTTAAAGAAGAGGACTTTTTTTAGAAGGCAGCATTTCACAATTAGGAGCACAGTGTTAACTCAGTTATGTAAAATGGATGAGCTCAGGAAAATCACTCAAGGGAAACAACAAAGCATTCCTTGTGCTTATACCTAGATTCTGGCGTTCTGAGAGATTTGTATTCTTCTTTATAATTTTTTGATTTCTCCAACTCTTCCATTAGGAAGATGTATGACTTTGATAATCGAAAGAGACTAACGCAAGCTGTTGTTCCTGGGGAAGCAGTTAGAAAGCACTGAGTCTTCCTCTAGCCCCTCTCTAGAAGCAGAGGTAGTTACTAATCCATCTACAGCACAGTCACCAATAATTACCAAGGCATTTGTCCATTCCCTGGGCAGTTTTGAAGGCTGTGTTGTGGGGATGGGAAGTGGATTTATTTCAGTCAGTATTTCAGTTAGCAAAATTGGAATATTTGTTATGTGCTTTGCTGAACAGAAGCGTGTGAAGTTACGAAAAGATGCAGGTGACAAAAATATGGCAAGCAGTTCCTATTGTTTCTGATATTTCTTTATTCATTAGACTGTTGTGCATGTCTATTTTAATTGTACCTTATATCTTTGGCCCTTTCCTGTTGCTACTAAAACATAATTTAAAACATGGAGTAATCACTGTTTTTGTGCTCCTATTTTTTCAGTTGTGTTCTAGATTCTCAAACATTTGCGCTTTAAAAAAGGTTTGTCTCTAGGGTAGAGTTACAAGGAGAGGAAAGAGAGACCGGGCAAGAACTTCTGCTGGTTCACTCCTCAAATGACCATAACCATTGAGGCTGGGCTAAATCAGTGCTGGGAGCCACGGCACAGGCTGGAGTTTCTTCTGGGTCTCCCACGTGAGTGCAGGTGCACATCTTCCACTGGAGTTGCAGGCAGCGAATTAACCCGCTATGCCACAATGCCAGCCTCTAGATTTGCTCTTCAGAGAAATACTCCTTTCAAGAGGTTATTCTTACATGTAAGATCAGATGTGTTTGTGGTGATTTTTATGGAGTCAGATATTTAGTTTACTCAACATGTATATTTTCTTTATTATGTTACTTCTCTAGTCACACATCTTGGTCATAATTTTATGAAAAGATTAGTTTTTCTAGCGGTCACAGACAGAGGAAAAATAAAGTTAATTCATTTTAAACAGGCAATGCATTTCCAAAACCCCATGTTGTAATTGCTGGTTTTGACTCAAAGGTAAATGCAGTATGTATACATAGAGATTTAATATGAGAATCCAGGGGCACCAGCATGTAGAGTATCTTTGTGTTCTCACACCTTAGTTTTACAAATATAAGGAAATAGGAAATACATTGCTTTGTTTAGTCTCACCTTCTCACTGCAATTTTTCCTTGACTTTCTGCTAGAAAAGGAAGTGGATATTGTTGTATAAATAATATAGACTGAGTTCTAATTCTGACGTTACCACTAATTAACTGAGTAATTTTTAGTAAGTCAAGAACCTTTCTGGTTTGCACTTAATTCAAGTGATCTCTCTAAGATGTTTGATGATTTAATGAAAACTACCTTTGGGGTAAATTGTAATGCCCTATAATTTATTCTTAGGGAAAACCTCAAAGGACTCAGTGGTGATGAGAGAGCTAGACTGAAACCACACTCCCCAAATGGCCCAAAGGAAGACAGAGCCGAAGGAATATTGGATTGGTCAGAGCCCAAAGCTTGGGATTTAGCCGAAGTTAATTCTTAGGCCCCACCAGTTCAATTTCCACTCCATTTCTTTCCTAGTTCCTCTTCTGAGTCCATTTACCTGAAATCTTCCTTTTCAAGTCAAGTTTCCATTTCCAGATTGACATCTCGGCTAACATTTACCCTTGGAGGTGGAGAAGAAATCACAAAGGAAAGCAGGCAAAAATGTTGAGATCCATTTCAGCTTTTAAAGAGAAGCCCCTAATAACCCATCTGTGGTTCTGTATGTCTTCTTACCAGTTTAAAACACAGCTCTCCTGCAGGAGCTCAATCACTTTCCCTAGCCATGACCTATTAGCAACAACTCACACCTTCTGGCACATTTTCTCCTTGGCTCTGTGTCAATAGTTACCCCCTTAGTGTAATGATCCAAGTATGGGTTGACATCTCTGGAAACAGCTTTTCTCTCCCTCCCTTCTTTTTGCCTCTAAGAGCTGTTGCGGAGTTGAAATATGCATTGCCTCATTTGTCACGTTACCTACAAAGGAAGCAGTAGAGCTAACCAGAAATGAGAAACAGGAAATTTCTGGTAAACAGCTCTCGTGGTAATCTGGAGGCTGAATTGAATCAGACATCAGAGTTCGGAATAACATTTTGAATTGCCGAATTTGAGGCAGCTGCTTCCATCTATACGATAGTATTATCTCCAAATTTGAATGCGGTTGTTATAGACCTACCCCTCCATTTTGTAGTCCTGCCAGAGAGCATTAATTTATGAGGCTGGTGTGGAGCACATTTGAATTTGGAAAACTGAAGGATTAAAAAAATAACACGAATGCTTCTGATACAAAATCTATCAAGGATGTTAACAGCAGTTCGAAGAAAAGTAAATATGATGGACTCCATATTCATTAATGAAAACGTGAAACTGATGAATACAGGCCTGCTCTCATGCAGTTAGCCTATTCCAACAGCATAGGATAGTACAATGGGTGCCTCTCTCTCTGGGTTTGCACTGAGTAAGGCAAATAAACACTGTAACCCATGCATCTCTCACTGGTGCTTTCACTCTTTCATTTGGGAATAGAAAAGCCCACAATTAGTTTCCGATTTTGAAAGGAAAAGGAAGGGGATTGGTGACAATCTGAGACTGGTAACTGAGACAGGTATATGCCCTTTGATCATGAGAGTAGCTCCTGCCATCATTTGAAACTTCTGAGCTGCTTCCCAACACACTGATGGTCTTGCCTCTAGAACTCCATTGTCTGTTCCTGAAGGCAAAAAGCAAACAGAAGCTTAAAAAATGGATGGCCTCCCAACGTGTCCTGGTTCTCATTCCTCCCCAGGCTGAAAGATAATGGGAAACTACTTCCAGCAAGGTGGTATCTTCAGATCCAGAGACAATCAGTCCGGGGTTGGAAGGGAGAGAGTCTCCATGACACTCATGGTGCCCAACTGCCTGTGGTTTTTCAGGCAAAATGATTAGGGTAGACCTCCCTCCTTCCTACTTGCCCTGCTGGTCTACCCTCCCACTTGCTGTCTCTTTTCTGATCCTCCCCCCAAAATTGGCCTTCCCTAGTAAGAGGTCAGTACGTTTTTCCACTTGGGAAATTTCATTCAAGAATTTTTATCAATGGACAAGTCACAAGAAACCCTTCCATTTTAGGGCTCGTTGACGTCACCAAGGAGGCGATAAATATCTGTTGATATAATTGGATGTGAGATTCAGTGTTGAAATAGCAAAAACTCTGTCCCTGGCTCCTTGGCGGGGCCCTATGATTTATGCAGGAGCAGAGGCAGCACGCAATCGAGCTGTCAAGAGAGCGTCAGCTTATTAGGCAAATGCTGCGTGCTTTCTGAAGAGGGTCGACGCTATAAAACCCCACTCCAGCCTGTGCTGTGGAGAAACTCAGAACCCAAGTCCATTGAGAGACGGAAGAGAAGGAGAAGTGGAAAAGAAAGAGAGAGAGGCGACAGAAAGGAGAAGGGGAGAAAATCTCCAGCTCCAAGCCAGGCAAGGACCCTCTGCAGAGAGGCGGCAGCTTCCTGCTCACCTGTGCAGCCCCCGGGGAAGGTAGGGAGTGCCTGGACGGAGCGCGCCTTCAACTCTGGGCGGCCGGAGCCGCGGTTCAACGCGCCTCCTCCGGGCAGGCTGCCCTGTCCCGACTGGCGGGCTGGCGTGTGTGTGTGTGTGTGTGTGTGTGTGTGTGTGTGTGTGTGTGTCCGCGCAGGGCGGGGTGGGGGGTGGATGCTTGTGTGCGCTGATTGCACCTGCAGTCCCCAGAGTAGCTGAGATATGGCAAAAGCAAACTTAGACGGCTGCTCAGTCTCCTGAAATTGTCAGTTACTCCACCCTCGTGTAAGGGGGGGAAAAAGCCCCCTCGTGCTTGCCATCAATCCCGACTTCAGAGAGAAGGAAGCAAGGACTGGGATGGAGAAAGGAGGAAGATGAGGAGTGGAGTAGGTGAGGAGGAGGAACCAAAGAAGAGAGAAGAGGAGGGGGATTTGGAGGAGATTTCTGAAATACCTTAAAAGGGGGTTGTCAGAGCAGGTGAGGTCTTCCAATGTGCGGCTTTGTTTTGCTCTACTCTGGGGCGGGAGTAGGGGGATATAGATATCAGTTGGTGTGGGGAGCGTCGTTGAGAAGACGACTCAGACACTGTCCCATTGGATATGTCCAATGTTTAGGCTAGCTGTTGCCGGGCTCGGGATGGGCTCGGGGGTGAGCTCCCAGGGGAGTCCGTTTTCCCGACACCCCAACCCCCTTAGGTCCTCGAAAGGCAGCTTCAGCACCGCGGACAGCACCCCACCCCTGCCCTCCAACCTCCCAGCCCCGGCCTGGCACGTGCATGGGTGGGGAGACCTCCGAAGGCGTTCCCAAGCAGAGCTCAACTCTCACCAACTCTTTTCTTTCCCTCTCGCCCGCTGTCCTGCGCCCTCCGCCCGGCTCTGCAGCAGCCAGCGCTCCTAACATGCGGCTGCCGCTACTCGTGTCGGCGGGCGTCCTGCTGGTGGCCCTCCTGCCCTGCCCGCCCTGCAGGGCCCTCCTGCGCCGGGGGCCCGTTCTCGGCATCCGGCAGGCCCCGCAGGTCCCTCAGCCCTTGGATTTCTTCCAGCCGCCGTCGCCGCCCTCGCAGCCTCAGCAGCCGCAGCCTCGGCCAGTCCTGCTCCGCATAGGAGAGGAATACTTCCTCCGCTTGGGCAACCTCGGCAGGAGCCCCGCAGCCGCGCTCTCGCCCGCCTCCTCGCCCCTCGCCGGCGCCGGCAACGGCGGCCGCCCCTCGCCGGACCAGGCAGCTGGCAACTTTTTCCGTGTGTTGCTGCAGCAGCTGCCGTTGTCTGTGCGCTCTCTCGACAGCCGCGCGAGCCCGGCAGAGATCGGCGCCGAGGGCGCATTGGGCGACCACCAGGAGGCACCGGAGAGGGAGAGGCGGTCCGAGGAGCCCCCCATCTCCCTGGATCTCACCTTCCACCTTCTGCGGGAAGTGTTGGAAATGGCCAGGGCCGAGCAGTTAGCGCAGCAAGCCCACAGCAACAGGAAACTGATGGAGATCATTGGGAAATAAAGCGGTGCATTTAACCAAAAAGAGTCTGCATTCAGCACAAATCATTTAAACGAAGTATTCTGTACCATAGCGCTGTTCTGATATCAGTTGTTTATTTTTTATATAGCTTGAAATATAGAGGATGTACAGGGAGAAAGTCTCTACCCCTCAATTAGCATGCACCTGCAGTGACAACAATGCTTTGTCCTGTTTCCTTTAGTTTTTCCCTGTTAAGCTTCTTCATGGCCATGTTTCAAAGAATGTAGACCTGAGAGAGGAGAAAGGTTTCGAAAAAGATCTAAGTCACCCCGTTGCTAATGTGGTTGGGGCACATGAAATGCAGCTCCTGAGTGGGTGGGGGTAAGACGAAGCTTGTAGGCTCTGAGTCAACTTTTTCTTGTAAATGTCTCAGTAATAAAACGTCTTTCCAATCCTTGATCACTTGGTTGTGTAAGAGAATGCAGAATATTTATATTTTTAATAAAACCTGCAAAGGTGGTTGTGCCTTTATTCTTCCTCTTCAGTGTTCACACAAGGAAATGCCCTCAGCTCCTAGCTTTCCCCTTTCTTCAGCGCAGGAAATGAAAGACAAACACCCCGCATTTTATTTCCTACTAAAACATGCACAAACTCATGTCAGAGCCTCACACCGACCTGCACTGGCCTGGGCTCCTCTCTGCTCCTGAGGTGACTCATCTGAGGTTGACTTAAGCAGCTGGGAAAGTTGCTTCCAGCTCTGACACCTGGCAGTTCCACAAATAGAAGTTCAATCAGATTGGAAATATTTAACCCTAACTAATTATAAGATGTGAAATAACTGCGGAGAGTGGGGACAAACGGGAGAAAGAGAACAGTTGATTGGAAGAGTTATTCCTCCAAACTAAAAAGCCAAAATACTACTTTTTAAAACTTTATTTTTAAATATGGAAAATAAATCTTTTTTAAAAAAAATATTTTTCTCTATTTTACTATGAGAATATCACTTTATCAAGATAGGACTTTAGTATTACCAACAATTTTTTGAAGATTTTTCCAATCACTGCTTTTAATAGGAGACACTTGTTAGCATCTCCACTTAAAAACAACCACATTTACTGGCTATAAAGTGACACCTGGGAAAGAATTTATTTCCAGCAACTTTGTGACTTTAACAGCTACATAAATAACTGTCACACTTCTATGCCAACCCTAATTGCTTTGATTCTAAGGAATATGGATTATGTTTATTCCCTTTTAAATAGCACACCTAATTAGTTTTACAATGTATTTGGCCTTGGTAGCTTACTCTTATAAACTACAATTGCATGTTCAATTCTTTGGAATTAATTTGTATGAATGAGCACACTTCTTCCCCTGAGGCCCTTGAAATACATCTGACTAACAGATTAATGTGATAATAGGAAGCACCGAATGACTCATGATAAGACTAAATTTTTTAAAACTGCATTTATTTAAGAGTTCGTACAGAGTCAAGTTACATTTGTATAATGAGGGAGGCATTACAGCATCACAAATAAAACATGGTCTAAACTTACATATATTAATGTGTGTCATGTGTGCGTATATATTTAAATATATGCAACTATTCTGTAGTTTACCTACCAGATTGGTGCCACTGTGGATAGCTGAGAAAGTAGACAACTCCAGCTGGAAGATCTTTTTCATATATCTGTATGACATATGAATAAAAATATACAAATAGCTAAAACTAAAATTAGAAAAATGGCACAAGGGGCATCCTAGGGTTCCAGCCTTGTGAAGCATCACCAGAACTAAAGGAATTTCTGGACATATGCCCAGGGACATCTACTATGGAAATGAGGACAAGTTTGTGAAACATTTCATAGCTTTGGTCAATGATTACCTTTTATCCACAATGGATAGATCAGTCACTACTAAATTGACACTGAGTTTCACTGACCACCCTCATCATTAAGAAGGAAAAGAAATAAGAGCTACTATGATATCATAACAAACAGCTAGTGCCTATTAAAGACAAGAGTGTAGTGCCTACTTTTTCAACACTTGCCACTCATTACACATCTACCACACCTACACACCCTTCTAATCTTTCCCACACAGTAAAAGATTTGCGTAAGAGCAAGTTTCTTTTCCCCAGTGTTTTACTGTAGCTATTTTTTCAAAGTGTTCTCTTCCCTCAATGTGTTAGGTAAGTCATCTGGGATTAAAAGATTTTGCTTGTTTTTGTTGTTTCCTTTGCAGAAATCCCATGAGGCGGTCCCATTCATCATCTGCATCACGTTAACTCCATCTAAGTTACCTGCTGCCTGTGTGCATTGCAGCCAGGCAGACAGTGCGGCAGCAGCTGGAATGCACATCACTCATTCAGGGAGTTCAACCATGAAAAGGAGAAGACGTGGCGAGCTGGCTCAGCACTAGCTCCACTTGTGCTCACTGAAGCAGCAACCCGGCTCTGCTGGGGAGGGGCCTCAAATCCAATCTGCAACAGGAGAAAATGTGAATCAGAGACAGAAAAGGCAATCCTTTGGGAGTTGGCTCAGGTACTTTCCTACCGAAGATAGAGAATAATAAATAATAACAGCCCCGTATAATAATACATGGAACATAATTATTACAGGGGTGGAAAGCAAGTTCAGGTTATTATCATGGCTATGGCCAAGAACCATGAAAGCAGTTCAAAATTGGATGATAGTAAAGCATGCAGTGGAAGGAAGTTCTGGAAAAAAAAAGAATCCAAGCTTTTCTACTGTTTGCTTTTTAAGTTCACTTGTACATAATTTACTGAGAGAAAGGTCTCTTGAAACTAACAGAAATTTGAGTTTAGAAAAGCCTACAGAATAAAAAAAAAAAGAAAAAAAGAAAACCTAACTTAAAGGACATCGCTATACTGCATGACATTGCAGGGCATATTAATATAATTTCTCCATTGGTAAAGTAAGAAGTAATTTTTGAAAAACTAGAGGCTGAGATTTGAATAATCATGAAGGGATTTTATTATCTAGGTAATGAAACCTAATAAAATATTTATATCAAAGCAAATATAATATCAAAATTTCTAAATATAATCATCTTTTAGAAATGCTTGACAAATACATATTATTATTTTGAATAAGCTGATCAATACAGGCTCATAAACAAACTTTATGCTCCTTTGGATTTTTAAAATAATGACTTAATTGGCATGAGTGACAATCATAAAGATGTCTTGCTGAAATGCAAATGATTTAATTAATTTAACCTCTACCCTGAAAAATATATGAAAAATACAGTTCTTGCAGGAAGAACTCTGGAAATGGATAAATTATATTCTTATGACTTTACTGGTGAAAACAACCCACCACATTAGAATTTCATTCCAAAGCAATGAAATAGCCACATGCATTAGGCCAGCTCAGAAGCCCTGGGTAACTGCACAAAGCTGCTAAATGAGGGGAAAAAAATACCCAGCCCAGGCAGATCACACCATTGGTAACTATACTGCTTCACTGCCCCTCCAACTCTCTGAAGAGAAAAATGAGACTTTGATCTTCACCTTACCAGATTACACCCTAACTACGTTTTAGAATGATGTTTCAAAATCAACAAAATGATCCCAAGTCTTCATGGTTTTGCAGGATCTGTACACTGGAACTGTAAAATACTATTAAGAGAAAGCAAACTAAACAATATGACATTGGGCCAAAGAGAAGGATCAGAATCATGAATATCAGTAAAATGTCAAATCTCCCTCAGCTAACTTGTAGATTTAATGCAACAGCAGTCAGAATCCCACACAACTACTGTTGGTCTGCATGCATGTTGCTCCTTGGTAGAAAGTTAAGGAAGATCATAGCCATACTGGAATAAAACTAAACACCTAGTTTCTACGTTACAATAGCTAATGTAAAAAGTGAAACTGACCCTTTTCTCTGCCCCTCCCCCACAAAGATACTGCTAGAAATTTTGGTACTGAGTTAGGTGTGTCCAGATGTCCTTGCAACTGAAGTAGCACCCTTTGAGAAACCTGTACCTGCTGGTACATGATGAATTCCTCCCTTTGTCACCATAATCAATTTATCCTCATTAATCAACTTTAATCTAGAGAGAACTTCCTTGACAACTACTCCGAAATATCTCAAGGATGACACCAAGGGAACTGCTGGTGGTTAAAAGCCATTGGGGACTGAATACATATATATGATGCTTTTCTGTACTAAAGATTAAAATTTTATCTTCCATTAGAAGTATCTTAGTTGTCTTTATGCAGCAGCCTTCAAAGTATTTGTTTATATAATAAGGCAGGAAGCTATCATTGGAGGTGGAGCTGAGATTTGAACCCAAGCACTCCTATACTGGAATGAGCCCTTCCTAAATGGCATCATACCAAATATGAGATTTCAGAAAGAGTGAAATAAAGACATTTTTTCCTTTAGCCATCTCCACATGGGCTCATATGTATCCTTTCAAATTGTTTCCCCAAATTGACGGTCCTCTATTGCAGGAGATGCCATTTCTTGAGAATATTGGTGTAAAAACAGAACAAAAAACAGAAACAAAGCGCCGATCTCTACTTGCTTTTCTGCTACTTGTATACCAGTCTAGGTTGGACCATACACTAAGGCAAATGAGAATATTTGTCCCACAGTATTGCTACAGTTTATAGATTGCCTATATTGCAAAAATAAATTAACATACAAAACCATCATTGGACACAGCGTTCTATCCCCATACAGTCGCAGATTCGACAAATATGATGTTCAATCAGAAAATAAAATTTGAAAATGCAATAAGGAATCCACATTTTCCCTCTGACTCAACTGTCAGATCCAAAAATGCCAACAGTCACAAACACCTGCAGAAAGGAGTTCTAGAACCTTAATAAGAGGAGAAATTATTTTTCTTGGATGATCTTGACCAGGAGTTTTGAATGTTCACAAATCAGATTCAGTTTTTATGAATCAGATTCAACTAAAACATGAGATTCTTCTTTTTCTTTGACTTTCTTTACTTTGTTACTGTTAAACATCCTTTGAGAGGGAGCATGAACATCAGGTTTTGGTACCAGGGGATTGCTTCACTGCACAGAAGGTTAGAATGAGGTGAAGCAGCACCACCCAGAGCCTGTGCCCTGAAGTCATCATCCTTGACAAGTTAGGTCGTCCAGACCACTCCTTGATGCTGGGGATTAGGGACTGCACATTCCACCAGAGGCTTGTGGACATCTGATTCTCTCTATGCACAAGACAGACATGGGTTATGGTGTTTACTGGACCTTCATAGCGTGACTGACATTTTGGAAAAAAAAAAGTTAATTAGATGTAAAAAATGTCAGAAGTAAGTGTGCAGAGAAACAGGAACCTTTGTGCATTTTTGGAAGGAATGTAAAGTTGCTATAGAATGCAGTATGGAGATTCCTCCAAAAAATTAGAATCATCATATTATCTAGACACATTGCTTTAGGTTATATATCTAAAAGAAGGGAAAGCAGGAATCCAAATAGCTATTTGCACATAACATTCTTCACAATAGGTAATTGGGAGGCTACAGTGTACTCACAAATGTGGAAGGTACAAAGATGGATGATCTCTCTCTCTCTTTTTCCCTGTAGCTCCAATTTACAAACAGACAAATATGACTTTAAAAAAAATCTTACACTTAAGGCTGGGCCTGCAAGTTGTCTGGGCAATGCAGAACTTAACCAACATGGTACCTGAATGGTTACTAAGTGCCTCTTTTCTGATGACATGCACCTCTCTCGCTGTCCCTACTCCCTTTTGCCTCCCTTGCTGTTAGGTTAGTTTCTGCTGCCTTAATTCAGAGTAGAATTAAGGTGAAAGCAACCTATGCCTTGTATTTTATGGACATTTTTCTATTCCTTTACCTGTTTTCAGTGGTGTTAGCTTCTTGGTAAGAAAGTATCAAAGGAAAGAAAGTTAATGTTTAATAGAGTCTTCGAATTTTATGTTTTTCTTTCTCAAATGATCATTGTCCACTACCCTTGACTCCATCCCCTTAAGATTTATTTTTCTTGTGTTCTATTGCCCCAGATTTCTCCAAGCGATGGTCATCAAACTGAGAAAATACATAAAATTAAGACACTGATGCACCATAATACACTTCATATACACTGCCGTCAGGCAAGATTTTATATAGAAACTTTCCTATTCTAAAGACGACTGATGTCAGAAGACTAAAAACGATATTGAAAGCTCCGAGGAAATGTGTTCGGGCTTCCACACACTCTGCCATTCCTCCCTCTCTTAATGTTGCAGTGAATGCCTGTCAGAAATTCAACCCCACAGAGAGTCTGCTTACCACTATAGGCTAAATTCCAATCTTTCTAGGCTTTTCAAAAGAAACCTTTCCCAGTTACAGTAAAATCCATTTGTCATAAAGAGATAGGTATAGGAAGGGTAGAGTTACACTCGAGGCTACTGAGTGGGCAACCACCCAGTATTCATCCTGCACCTGCTAGGTTGGGTGGGAGAATCAATGCCAGGTGCTGGAAACAAGAGTAGAGTTGTTGAGGTCATGTTTAGAATGTTTATTCAGAAGGATCAAGTTCAAGTATTAGCTTGCTCCCCTACTTTACATTCTTGAACCTTGGGCTTTTGAATAGCTTGAGATGATGGATTTCTGACTGGGAAGGAAAGTACAGCCAAGAACTCAGGCCACTCACCAACTGTGAGAAGCAACCGAGGTATAGTCCGTGGCTCACAGCCAAAGCTCTAAGCCTTGGAGAACTCTATTTACAGCAGCTGTGCCAGCAGAGGCATCTATGAAATAGAGATATTTCTTGCTTGGGGCAAAGGAATAAAGATATAGTAGGAATGAATCACAAAGCTGTGAAAAAAAAGCACACGCTCCATGAATGACAGAAGAGGAAAAGAGGGGGCTCACAAAAGAGCTCTGGAAGGAAGGCACTCCCTACAATGCACTTTTTTCCTGAGGAGTTGCAGGTGGACACCTGACTGGTGAAGAGGATGGAGGATTCGTTGATCTGGGTTGCTTCGTTGTCATTAGCTAGTTACTTCTTACTAAGGGAAGGACAGGAGCTAAGCAATTTCTTCTCACACATGGAAGGAGAATAAATTAAACTCACTCATTACTTTCTCTAGAGTAGGATAGAATGGTGTATTCTGTTTCCTTGACTTCAAACATGCTGCCTGGGAACTGAAAGGGACATCTGGGGAGCAGGTTACAGATGCAGATGCTACAGCCTGGCAAAACCTGAAAGTCAGCCTGTCTACGGATTTGACAATGGAATGTCTGTGTGTGCTTCACTGTTTCTGAAAACAGAACTGTATTATAAACATTTCAACTTTGGATTCATCACAAAGAAATTCTTGACCTCATGTTAGGCAAAAGGCCAAACAAGTTCATCTCAAGAATGAAGGGAGGTTGGTAGTGCTACTACACCTGATTTATAGACAAAAAACTAAACCTAGGAAATTTAAGAAAACTGCTTAAGGAATGCTAAAGCACTGAGCATTGTTAATA